TAACTTATTGGGTAGCCAGACCACTGCAACAATACACTGAGACTGTCGAGTGTGAACTAATTCTGGCTTCCACCAAATAAATTTCCACAATATGGCCTCTGATGTTTGCTGATTTTTGATTTTCCTGTCAAACGTAGTGCTAATTGTCCACCTATGACAACCTTTCGGCGCCCTGTCATGTGAAGAAATTACGAAAAATGAGATGCTGCCAGTTTGCCCAAACTAAATCAAGAACAATCGAGAAGCTGAGGTTAGGTCCAAAACATGAAACATGAAACATGAAACTTGCGGTAAGTCCAAGCCACTGAACTATCTCGAGCTTTCTGACAAAGATAGCGGCTAGTATCCCCCCTTATCAACTCAGCCTATCGGTAGAGGAGTCAGTCATACCGAGCTTCAAAGCCCGATGCGGACAATGAACATAGCTGACTTAGCACTTTTGGATTGCCTTGGCTGGGTTACAGGCGCCAGGCGGATGCTTCATTTTGCCTTTTCTGGCTCTCGCGTTTGGCACACGAGGCAATCCGTCTCTCCGTTGCACCTCCAGCATGCAGTGGGAACGTTCAAAGCTCAGAATAATGTCAATGTTTTACCACTTTGCAGATGAACAGTAGTGCTCTGTGATGCCTGTACTCAAGCGTAAAGTAGGCCAACACCTATCCATACACTGCACCTCGTGTCATACTGGTATTTTTTTGGTATACAAAGTAAATTATACTGGGACAATAACACTGGGCCTTACCGCGTTGGTGACGGTGCGCTTCCATGACCAATCAGGTTTTACTGAGTGGTGCCCAGGCGACACTCACAGTCTCATGCCATTTTGTTCAGTGCTTAGAGCTCTGACCAGCCTGACCCTCCAGGTTAGGGTCCGGGCGCCTGTTCTTCTGCTGTTCTTCGAAAAAGTTCACTTGCGCTTTCCGAGGTTTGGGAACCTCGGTAGTATCCCAGGTCGCAATAAACCATGGTTCCTACAATTGAGGATACTATCACGTCATATCAACCACTGCCTTGTGTCATCGGTCAGGTTTTCTTGTTTCATACAGCAGGGTGAGTAACCGGAAACAGGATACTGCTAACGCTTTCCTTCTTTACGTTTAAATTACTTCCCCTATTCATTCCTCTATTCACTCCAATACTAATTCCTCGTTTGAGGAGTGACGATCCTATTCGTCGTGCATCCTTCTTGACCGCAACATATGCACCCTAGCAGGCACCAACAGCTTCTGGTGTCTGATAATCATTCAGCAAGCCTTGACGCCCGGGCTGTCTGTCTTTCGATGTTCACAATGCAAAGCGAGCAGAACAAAAAACTGCTCTTGCTGTCACACTAGACGCGCTTGTGCTGTGTATCAACTAAACAGCAAGTACAGTGATTGAGTTAACTGTGCGGTCCCTCTACACGCTTCCCATTAGTTGTCGCTGACGATCCATAGGCCACTGTAGCAGGATGTATAATGGTCGGAATCGTTCCAAGTCATCCAGACGGAGGATCATTGCTAGATTGGATAGTTGAAGATAGTCGCCTTTGTGTGATCTGTCTGGCAACGTCCGTGAAGGGGTCTCAAGTGGAAAGTTGGCCGTTTTTCATTGTGACTTTTTACGCCCCAAACGACTGTAGTTCTAGCGTCACAGAAAACAACCTTCATGAGACTTCAAGTGTCCTGTGACGGCAGGCTAAAAGCTCGAGTATCGTAGTTGCTAGGGTGGATAGACTTAGCACGTGTGATACCTGATTGATTGTTCGGCTTAGATTGGGCTTGGTACGAATGGGTAACGGTGAACAACTGCTCCAGATGTGTGAAACACAGACTTTCCTTGCAGTACTAACCTACGAAATAACCAAATTCGTCCGGTCACTTCGTGTCCTCCGACAATGTGTCAGTCACCTACCCAAAGCAACCACATCACCATCGGTTACCAACAGTGTTACCAACAACTGTCTCACAAATACTTGGGGATTTATGTGGATGCTACAATGACTTCCGGAGTCGCTTTGCTCTTCGCTTTTCACAGCCGACAAAGGAGCAACGAATATCTTAGCAGATGAGAGGCTGGCAAATAGTGAAATTATAAAAAATCATCAGAATCGTCTTCTGAACTCTTGTAACTACTCCGCTGTTAGATGCCAATTCGCATTGGCACCAGATCAATACATCTCACAGTGCTGGGGATTTCGCCTGTTGAACGGTTTTATCAAATCCACTGAAGCACTGAACCTAAGACATATTTGGAAAAAACGTAGCACCCTTTCGGTGCCTAGTTGCCAGGTGAACCGAAGGAAGCACAAGAGCTGGGGTACTGCAAGGTTAACCAAGCCTAGGCAAGGGAAGTCGAGAGTCACAGGTCGGATTCGAATCACGGACCTTCCGGTCAGTAAATTCTTGCTCTAGCCACTGATTCGTCTCGCCCAGGACACAGTAGCGCTGCTTGAATCCCGAAGAAATGTTCTTTCCAGTCCCGTACATAATCCTGACGAATTATCGGACGTCAACTGAAGCGTAGCGTGCGCGCTCACTTTGAAGCCTGGTGCGTACGGAGGGCTAAGGAATTTCGGGGCGCTAAAAGCTGGGAAAACCTGGAGATTATTTCGGTTGCTCCATCCGGCTGGCCACTGGAGACCAGAGCCGACCAAAGCCAGTAAAAGCCGTCACAAATTGACTTAACCTTACCACGTTTTGGCAATTTTTGCTCCTCCATAGCTCACTGAGCTGTACTAAGGACTGTACATGCTACACGCAAAACCCTTCTCACCAGCTTGGTCAGTGGTTATGACTAACACAGTCCTCTGGTTCTTCAGGTTGACGGCTGTAACACGTGTGGCGACTTGTTCTATAAAGGTTGTAATGCACCTGTAGTTCCCACAAAACACCGCTACCTTGCTATTGGATTTTCGAGCAAAAGACTTTCAATGAGGACCCTAAGTGTCCCCATTTCAGGTGTAGGCGCCTTGGCAGAATCCGACACCACATACAATCATGAAATATACATCCAAAAATCTCATGCACATTGTCCGTTACATGGTACCGTCTGACGAGCTACCCTACTTGCTGTATAAAGCAGGGTAATTAAACGAAAAATAAATCACTTCTGACGCCTACTTTCTTACTGTTTCACATGCTTGATTTTTCCTTCCTCATCCCGTCACCATTACTTGCGATATATACAGTTGAATGGACTGTCACGGCCGCAGACACCTCGAAATCCTCCTTGAATCCCCGATGCTTGGTTCAGCACCTAACGTTCGTGCACTAAAAGGAACCAGGCAACAGAATGCTATCGCCTGTGAGCTGGGCTCGCATTCCATTGAGTTGTGCGGTCTCTGAAAAGAGATTGAAGATAAAAGTACGATTGCTGAGCTGACCTCCTTATCGGTTTCTTCTCAGTTTTGGTTGCGCAGTGTTGGTCCTGGATTCGGTGCGGGTATCCACAAGCCACCGAGTTGCAGGGTTGTAGTGGATAACGCTAGCAAATACCAGTCCTGGATTCGGGGTATCCACAAGCCACCGAGTTGCAGGGTTGTAGTGGATAACGCTAGCAAATACCAGTTCAAAGTAATTAAATCAAGTGAGTGAGAATAGGCGATATGATACAATTCACAGTTCGTTGGTACAGTTAGTTATTACCACCACAACAAATCCAAATCGATCTCCTTCCTGGAATCTTCCTTGACATGTTCCTAGATACCTTCTATCCCGTCGTAGTCTGAAAGGTAGATCACCGCTCGTTAATTCACTGA